GGCCTCGACAAAGGCCCGAACGACCGTGAGGGGCAGAACGAGCTAGCGAGGGGGCTCTCACTACGAACCTAAAGGCCCAGCTTGAGCCCTTGCTTGAGCCTGCATAAGTACATTGTCCTTCGCGCCGTAGGCTGTCACGCCGGCACGCACTGCCAGGCACATGGACGAACCAAGCAGGGATCCATCTTGGGTTCAGCACCGCACAGGTCTCGCTGACGACCCCATTGTAGCCATTGCAAGCACAGCGCCCGAGTCTTCTCAAGCTTCGCATCCTATTCCAACTTCGGCACAACAGGACATGCACGCATTGCATCTCGAGATTCAATCGCCCGCACTGCAACCTGAGGTCTTGCAATCCCAGCTGGTCGCCTTGCAAAAACGCATTGAAAGGCTGGAGCGGGACAAGCAGTCAGCATTGCAGACAAAAAGAACTGCTGTGCGTGCCTTTTGTTCAGAGCTTAAGTAGGTCGCTAAGGAAACTAAGTTAGTCAGAACGTTGCCTACCGCGAGCTCGGCCCCCCGCTCCAGCCGCTTACAGCGCCAATTAACTGCCGCATCTACGTTCCGCTCCTCCTGGCAGCTGCCGGTCGCCTGGATCCAACGCAGTTGCCTTTGTGGGCCGCACACCTTGTGCTAGGCCAAGCCTGGCAAGCCGCTCTTGCCGTCTTCCGCGAACGACCGTTCGTGCCGGTGCAGGAGATCCTTGCGGTCGGCCAGCAACTAGTTTTCGGGGGGCAACACCTTCTGGCTAGCGAGCAGGTCCTGCAACCCCTCCTGGACTGGGCAGTCAATACTGCAGTCGACTTGTACGCAAACCAGGGGTCTGGTCGAGAGGCGCGCCTTACAAGTCCTCCACGTCATCGATGGGTGGCGTGCAATGCCACATGGAGCCATGGACTGCGTCCGGCCGCCTCCACACGTCGCGCACCCGCCGGATGCACCCGCAGCTTCCTCACCTAGTGCCGCTGCGTTGCCGGCCCCGCCAGCCGGCTTTGCGCCCGCCTCCGACGCCGCGCGGCCAGATATGCAAGATGCCCCCCACGCGAATCGTGCCGTCCTCCCTGCCATGCAGCATCTGCAGCCGGCACCAGCCGGCTCTGCGCCACCCGATGTCGCGCAGCCTGCGGAGCTTGCCCACACGCACTCCGGCAACCGCGACCCGGCTCTGCCAGACCCCCACGCGTCGCGAGCTGCTGATGCCGACGCCAGCTTAGCCCGTGTCCGAATCCCGAGCTGGCGGCAGAGGCCGGCGTGGCGGACGAGGACGTGGACGCGGACGCCGGCTGGCGAATCCCAACCTCGAGCTCCAACGCCTGCAGCAAGCCGGGTATAGCGATGGGCAGCCGACGCTGAGCGAAGTTGTCGAGCTAGCCGATCCTATCCTACCTTCTTTGCTGCCGCTGCGCACCCCGTAAGCGCCGTCTCTTGCAGTAGGTTGGCCCGTCCCGGCAGACGGAAAGAGGCGTGCGAACAAAAAACAGAGAAAAACAACAACAATTCCTTCCGGTTCGATGCCGCGCTGTGGTCCTTTGTGGTGCAGTCCTGCGGTATATGCTTCATTCATCACACACAAGCCACGTGCGTCGGCAAGTAATTAGCTCGTGCATGGAGCTTCGGACCGTCACCGTTCTCGGCCGATATAGATCCTGCCAGGAAGAGCTGGAAAGCAACGCATGCAGTCCGATGTGGGCAGCATAACTTGCAGACGGTAATAAAGGCTGACATGATCCATTTGCATTTGCAGGCACAGGAAAATTTGGGTGCTCCGCTGGATTGGAGTCGTCTCTGCCACAGAGCAGCTTTTGCTCACCTTTCATCCTTGAAGCGAAAATAGCGGCAGGACGAATTTGGCAGAATAAGAAGAGCTTTGCCAAAAAGAGGGCAACAACGAAAGAAAGAAACACAAAAAAAAAAGACAGCAAGGGACAACGAAGCTAGAAAACAGAAGGAAAGAGCAGGAATCACGAACAAATAAAGAACGAACGATGTAAAAAAAAAACAAAAGGTTGCAAAAATGAAAGATAAAAAACAGAAATAAAGAACACAAAACGTTAAAACAAAAGAAGGAACGAAATACCCAGAAAAATAAATTAGCAACAAAGGAAAAAACAAAGAATGAGGCATCACGAGAAAGGAAGCATGCAACAGACAAGCACAAAAACAAAAAACATAATGAAAGCCAAAAATGGAGTAGATTATCGCCAAGCAGACAGGGTTGAAATAACGAAAGATCAAAGAACAAAGGCAAAAAAGACATAAGCAAGGAAAGGAGTGCAGAAAGACCGAAAAAAACAATGCATGAATAAACGAGTTTATGACGAGATGCACAAAGACAGTAACAACACAGATTTAAACAGATACATAGAAATATCGGGACAAAAAACGCAACACACACCTAGAAAGAGCGGGACGAAGACGGCAAAAGAAAGCACCACCGTCGTCCTCATCATGTTACCAGCAGCACCACCAGCAGCAGCACAAACCCCCATGAACCCTTTCAAAGCATCATGCAGGCATTGTGTTGGTGAATGGGGCGGAGAGAGGCATTGTGTTTGTGAATGGGAGGGGGGAGGCATTGTGTGTGTGAGTGGGGGGTGGGCATTGCGGGGAAAGAGTTCCTTGATGTTACTTGTGCATATGTTATCATTTTCATTGGATGCCTTGCCTTTCTTCCGACAGCTCAGCAGCTGGATCCGTGGCCCGCCGTGGAATGGGATCCAACCTAGGCCTGCGGTTTCTCAAGGTGTAGCCGCGCAACGGATGTAGGAGTTTAGGCTTGTAGGATTCGCTAAGTAGCCACGACACGACGCGCGGCAGGCAGGAGAAAAAAGGCTTGAAGCAACAACTTCACTTCCCTTGAATTCCTTGCTCGCTTTGTCTGCTGCTACAGCCTTGCCGCGACGACGACCGGGAAACCAACATCACCGGGGCATCCCAGCGCTCGCGGCGTTGCGAGTGCGCGCACAGAGCCCTGGATCCCTGCGTGTCATGACATGAAAGAAGTTTCAACCATGCAATGCAAACGTTGACTTTTGCACCACGTCGTGTTGCTCTCATATGTTTGTCTTCTCGTATCCCCTGTTTCCCAACGTGGAAACAGGGCTGTACCAGTGCGTGCACACACACACACACACACAGAATAGACTGTCGAGCACAGGAGCTTACCTTTGTCGCCAAATCCCTGGGTTTGACCGGTGAGATGCCGCGAGGACAACACTTCACGTGGCCGCATTCTGAAAAAAAAAACAGCCATGGCCGGCAGGTTCTCCTATGCCGTGGAAGCCGTACACGGCCTTTGCGACCCTTGCAGATTGTTTGTGGCTTCTGTGGGAGCTCTATGCCGAGCATGTGCGCCATGTAGATGTGGTTGCAAAGCGTGTCCGATGGCGAACTCAGGTCCGCACTTTGTGGCGAGCCCTTGATGATTTTTTCCCCGGATTATCCGACCAAGGCCTGCGAAGAGGGCTGAGGAAGAATTATTGGATTCTGGACTGGCAGTCAGGTTGCTGAAGCTGTCCTTGCTGTCCGTTTCTCAGTCCTCAGTACCCCTTCTCATGCCTCGCACGTTTTCGGGTCCAAGTAATAGCCGGGTGAGCTGAGGTGGCATCACTCATTTCTCCAGTTGAGTACAGCGGAGATTTCCGCACCTTGCATTAACTTATGGATGGCAAACCTTGTCTGGATTGCGTAGCTCAATCCACAGTAATCCAGAGGTCCATACTTCACCATTTATGACGGTGATTTCGAGCACTACCGTCAACATGCTCGCGCCTAAGTTGGCTTGAATGCTTCCACAACGGGATTTGTTGAAGGTGTCAGATTGCCATTTCCGCATGCAGCCATAGGTGCAAAGCAACGGAGCCTCATCCAAGGCTGCGAGCTTGGAGACGTGGCTGGAACAGTTCGTAGTTGGTAGTCGCATTCCAAAAACCGCACCCCCTTCATCAGGCAAGTGATTTTGGTTTGCTCTTGCTGTGTTTGGAGGCTGTCGTGTTTGGTGTGACAAACCCGGTAATGCTGCAGTTGCTGGCAGGGACCTTAGTCCAGTATCTCGACATATAACGAAAGGATTCGAGAGACTTTCCAGCCTACCGTCTTCAGGCCGACTTTCCGATTTCTGTGCTGCTGCAACCTCGCCATCGTGAGGATGCTAGCACCCAGCCCGAATCTCAGACTTCGTTTAGCCCCATCCTATGATCTTTAGCAGACATTGGGGCCAGTGCACCCCCGTTGCAAGGTCTACGCTTCCAGCCCCAGCAGCTTCACAAGAAGACACGGCCCCAGTCCATGCGTGGGGTCTTGTTCGAATTGGCCTGTCATCTCCACAAATCCTTGCCATGTCACTACTGGTACGGAGTTTGCTGATATGCTCAGGTTTTGGTGGAATCTCCAACTGGGGACCGCTTCGCTTGTTTGTCCTCCACTGCTGTTCTGCTGTTCGGTTGCCAATGCGACGAGAGTGCCACTTTGAATATGATGCAGCCGTTCGCACACACGATCTCCCGCCTTTTCTGCTTCGGTATCATTTTCGCGAAGCCATGGGTCCCATGAAGGCAATGAAGGCAATGAAGGCTCGGTTCATGCGATCGCTTGCTGCAGACTTGGTGGTTGAGCTGTCCTGATACCACTAAATAAGTAATTCTGCAGCAGTCGAGTCCCTTGGGAAAAACATGTAATTCTGATGCACAGGCTATGAAG